GTAAAAATTAAATAAAACTTAGTTTTTGTTATAACTTTCCTGGTTTTTCTATACATTTTTATGTTCTGATAGCATTATTTGAAACCAAAATCTCCTAAAATAAAAAGACATATAGTTTACAATGTAATATTGAATTTAGCCTTGATTTAGTTGGACGAGGTTATCGTAATATAGCCATTTTAGGGAAACTAATGTTTTGCAGCAAAGTCTCAGGAACACATTTATGATCACTGTTGTGTTTAAACTAAAAGATTTCATCTAAATAGTCCGTGACTAACTGGTGCTGCTACCTAGTAACCCATTGAACAACCATCTGTAGCGCTATCTGTTCGCAATCGGTGGTGTCAGCTTAAATACCGGTTTTTGACTCCTCAGTCTTCAAGCACAGATAGCCGAGAAGGCTTGGGCGTGTGTCACTTGGCCAGTGGCATTCGTCTGCTCGGGTTCGAATCCCGTCCTGTGTGGCAAATAATTGGTGACCTGTGTGTTTGTAGCGATATACTACAACCACTGGGGCATAGTGAGGTGTTCATAATCCTTGGTTTAGACATACACCTCAAAATCATCGGATTGGGCGAATCTTTTAGCTAAGTGGTTGTTAATGTTAGTGTATCCTATGAACATGCAGGTCACCAATGGCCGTTTTGCTATTTTTTTTTAATAACCTTCCTCTCTATATCCCTTAGAGAATTTTTAAAACAACGATATATCGTTTCATAGCACTGAAAGGGTTAATCACCATTTTGCCAACACTGTTAGAGATTTAAGTAGTAAGGACAGTCCTGTTAATGTAAATTTTAATGCTAATTTTTGTGATACAACTAGTATGTGTATAAAGCCAAAATTTGAACTTAATCCAATTGATATAGGGAGGTGGGAAAAAATCATGAATTCTTTGAAAAATAAATATTCTAGTGGGTATTATGAAATCCCTATAACAGTAATTAAGGCTGTAAAAGGGAGCATTAGTAAAATTCTATGCCACTTAATAAATTTCCTTTTGTGCCTGGAATTTTTCCTAGGAAATTAAAACAAGCTAAAATAATACCTTTACATAAGAAAAATAACTTGACAAATGTATCTAACTACCGACCAATATCTGTGCTCCCTGCTATCTCTAAGATATATGAAAAAGCAGTATACATTCAATTTTCCAAATTTTTAGAACAATTTAATCTTTTAGATGATAATCAGCATGGATTTCGGAATGGAAGATCGGTTGTGAGTGCTGCTGTATCTTTTATTGAAACTGTAACTGAGTCGGTTGATAAGGGAAAATGTACAACTGGTATTTTTATGGACTTATCTATAGCATTCGACAGTGTTAGGCATTCTACTCTACTTGAAAAACTTCAAAGACTAGGAGTAGCAAAACGATCTCTTAATTGGTTTATGTCATATCTCACTGAAAGATCTCATTACGTAGAAATAACTCACTTGACAAATTACAATAGAATTATTAAATCATGCTCAACTTATAAGCCAATAGTTTTCGGTGTGCCACAAGGCTCAATATTAGGGCCCCTGCTTTATTTGTGCTATCTATGAGGAATGAAAGATTCTTTAATAAATGCTAAAAATTCAACTGTATGTCTGTATGCTGATGACTCATATTTGGTCATATCATCCAACTCAATAGAGCAAACAGAAATGTTCGCTTATGTTGAATTGGAGAGTATCGGGAATTTTCTTAATAACCATAACTTGATGATGAATTTACAAAAAACTAAATTTATAAATTTTAAGACAAAACAAAAAGACAGAACGAGCCAACAACATTAAGCTATAACTTACAAAATATTGATGAAGAAATTAGTACCAACTTTTTGGGTTTAACACTAGATCAGCACTTGAATTGGGATAAACATGTCCACAAAATTTTAAGTAAAATTAATTCCGGAATTCATGCTTTATCAAGTATGTCTTTTTACTGTCATTTAAAAACTTTAAAAAATATATATTTTGTACGTATGCATTCACATATCTCGTTTGGCATAGCACTCTACGGCTCAACAAAAATATGTAATCTAGATAGCATTTTAAAGGAGCAAAAAAGAGCGGTTAGAATCATGCTTAGCTGCAGCGTGATGAGTCAGCTAAAGAACATTTTAAGGACCTAAAAATCTTTACTGTTTACGGGCAGTATACATATGAATCAATAATAATTGCAAAAAAACAAGAATTATATTCGGAACCAAAAGAAAAATGCCATTCTTATAATTTAAGAAATAAGAACGAAAATGTACAACCACACAGGACTAATTTTTTTGAAAAGAAACCATCTTATGCAGGTAATAGATTTTTAAAATATATTCCAAAAAAATATAAATACCCCCGCCGCAGCAAACCTGCAGACTAAGCGAATTTCCATTTGACTGATTGGATTTATACTGAAATGTCTACTTAAAAATATAACATTTATTCTTGATTTAAATAGAATTAGTTTAACAAGTACTTAGGTTTGCTGCATCAGGGAGGGTAAAATTTTTTTTTTTTGTAAAATGTGAATAGGTAGTGAGAAATAAAAACATTTTCCAAATTTGATCAAAATATGTTCACAAACAAGCAAACTACAACAGTTTACTTATTCTCCATAAGAATAACATGGGAATTTTAAATTTACAATTTTTTGGAATTTTCTCCGTAACTATTAGGCGCATAATAACGCTTCAGTATACTAAATTATTTGTTTTTTTAAGCTCTACAAAATGGTTTGGAAAGAAATTGCTAAATTTTTTGTGTCAAAAATAGGAAAAACCTATTTTTACCCCATAAAACCCCGTAAACCCCCGTTCCCATGGTCCGATCATGCTGGATCGCGAACTCGTTCAAATAAACGTACGTTTACACGTTTGTATCAAATTTCATCCAAATCGGATCATTTTTGCTCGAGTTATCGTGTTGACGGACACATATATATATAAATATATATATATGAACTAGCTGTAACCCGCGGGCTTTGCCCCGTTTAACTTCTTAATTTTCAAGATTATCTCGTTCGCATGGCTCAATCACGTCCTGGTTGAAGTTTGTTCGCTACGCTCACTCACCTTTAGGTTGGAGCTCGTTCGCTACGCTCACTCACCTTTAGGTTGGAGCTCGTTCGCTACGCTCACTCAGCTTTAGGTTGGAGCTCGTTCGCTGCGCTCACTTGCCTTCAGGTTAGCTCGTTCGCTACGCTAACTCGCCTCCAGGTTGAAGTTCGTTCGCTACTCTCACTCACCTTTTGGTTGCAAATTAGCTGTTGTCATAAATGTAAAAGAAATAATAGTGCTGCACCCTGTTGGTAATTTTTGTAACTTTAATGCTATTGAACATCACAGAACAGAACCAACTTGTTTAATTGAAACAGCTGTTAAGATTCAATAATTTCATTTCTCATAAGGTTAACATGGGAAACTCCAGAGCCACTGGGGCGGAGCCCGAAAGGATTTTTGAAATAAGAATATGCCTATATGTTAATCGGGAATGTGAGCTATCATCATGCCACATTTCAGCCCAATCCGACCAGTATGTTTCGCGTTCACTTGTCACAAACATACATCCATACATCCATACATCCAAACTTTCTCATTTATAATATTAGTAGGATTTGAACGGATGGTGTTTTTGGCCTCTAGGGACCTCAAAACGAAAAAAAAATCGGTCCCGCGTCCAGGTCTTACCATGAGTACTACGGTAATAGCTTATTCCCTATATGGGAAATTCGCTAAAAAGAAACAGATCCAAACAAATTTAAAAAATATTGAAAGAGTTTTTAATAAATTTTGCAATTTTTTCTTTTGAAGATTTTTTTACCTCCCTCAGTCAGCGATAGTTGAAATTATCTAACTAGATTTGTAAAATGTATTTGTTGTTTTTATAACCATTCCTCATGTTTTGCTGTTTTTTATCTTGTTGAACTATTTTGACACTATTTATTGTAATTATTTTGATACTATTTATCGTACAATGTACATAAAAACGAATAAAGATATTTCAATTGAATTGAATTAATTGTAGGCCCTACGTAATATTAAAACAAAACGTGTAAGTGATAATTTTCCACTAAATTAACAGATTTTATAGTTTTAGACTTTTTGGAAAAAAGGTTAAGCAAATACTTCATGTTTGCTAGGTTCTTGGAGTGTGTGAATACAAAGCCTCATGTATGTTTCATTATTTGATTGGTGGAATCATCAGGAGCACAGATAAGTGGTGAAAAGTACATTGGGCTTTGTATTAACCATAAATTTTGCATTATTAATTAGTTTTGGGACTGGGAGCACTACACAAATTCGAAAAAGGTGTTTGTGATTTTTTGTAAAACTAGAGTTCCTTGGGGTTGGATGGATAAACATAGAATTTTCAACACATAAGCTTGAATTTGAAATATTAAAAAAATAGTATACCATACACTGGGTTTGTGGTTTAGAATAAATACAGAAATATTAATGAGTAGTTAGAGAAATTCTGAGACAAGGTGTCAATCTATCTAGTCTCCCCACCACAGGGATTTTCACAGCCAGCGACCAGTTTCCGACACCCTGGGCGTTGACACATAGGGTACCCATGCCTGTAGAATATTGTAATATTTTTACTGATTACCATTACCTAGGAGAGTATTTATGCCCTTAAAAACCAATCTTACATCTTGGCAACATTTTTACTTCACAATAAATTAAAATTTAACCCTAAAGTTATAAATTGTCAAGTAATTGGATACGTAGGCTTGTTTTTTTTTATTTCACCATTTGTTTTACCAGCTGCTGACCCAATTAAATAAAGGTGAGTAGTTGTTTATTCCATTAGTAACTTGTAAAATTAGTTGGTGAGTTTACCCAAGGCCCCACTAGAAAAACAAGCCATGCTGCAGGATCCATGACGTCACACTAGTGGATAGATTTCATTGATAAATTCATTGCCATCGCCATTCCCATATGTTTTAGGTAAACAAACAAGCTGGCTGTTGTTAACCTCAAATAGTTAAGAACATAGTGAGAAAAACAAAAAAGTAGCAGTAACATTGGTGGTACTTTTATTGGTCATTAAAAAAGTATATATACAACCATTTTTACTGTAGAAAATATAAAATTAATTACAAACCTACATAAATGAAAGTAAGATACAATTCTTTTCTTGCTTTGTCAGTCCTCTTCAATCCACCTTTAATCACCTGAAAACACAGATATAAGTTGACTACTGTAGCTTACCGTATAACATTTATAAACATCTGATAATACAATTTTATTATTCTATAGTAATCCAGTAACCTTGTGCATTTTATCTTGCATGAAATGGGGTAGTAGGTTTCTTTTTTTGTGTTGTATGTGATAGTACCGAGATGCTAAATCCAAATTTTCTACCTCCACGACCTTCCGGATCACAGAAAAAAAATTAGTAATTTAATTTACTTTTAAAATGATAGTGATTGTTTTTCATGAAATATATGTTCAGCACTTGTACTCTTTTTTCAGCCTATCCACGTTAAACACTACAGTAATAGGTATGGGAGACCCATAGTTATAATGCAAAAACTGTTTGTCTCTATGCAAGGAACAATACCACAAAAGCGGTGCAGGATGTTTGGGGGAATTCCAATATAATCATAAGGGTAGGCGGCCTGCTTTTTAAACTTTTTGTCGCAATTTCATACCGTCTAGTAAAGCATTGATGGAAGATTTGATGAGCTTTGAAGAGCCTTATCTCGCAAGCTGTTTGGCTTAAAACCAATTTGGTCTTAAGTTGTAGGTAATTAAATGTACTTTAAAAATAGTTATGGTTGTTGCAGTGAAAAAGAGATGCTTCAGGGTAAAAATTGGTCAAACTTCAAAAAGGTTTGAAATTTGGCAATTTTAATCATTATTTGCAGAACTCAATCTTGGAAACTATTAGGACTGTAATAACTATTGTCATTTTGGTCTTATATTATATTATAGGTAGCCTAATTTAATCTACTTTTAAAATGATTGTGGTTGTTTTTCATGAAAAAGTTATGCTTCAGGGTAAAAATCGGACAAAAAAATTACCATTAAAAATCTAAATTTTGAAAAAATGAAAAAAAAAACTGGAGATACCATGGATTAGTACCTCTATGCCAAATTTAATCAAAATCGGATTACAGGCGTGGTCTGTAGCTCTGTACACATCCACACACACACACACACCTAGACATCACTTCAAAAACCACTTTTTGGGTTCAGGGGGGACCCAAAACGGATAACTTATATCCACTCAAAACTCAAATTAGGTAGAAAATTCTGACGAAAACAATACTTTATCCATATACTATGTATAGGGGGAGAAAGTAAAAACTATTAAAAATCAAATACAGACCGAAAATAGATTGATTTAGAAAAAAGCTTAAACAAAGTATTTTGCTATCAGGTCCTACCAAATCCTGTATTCCTGCCATAATCTCCCAGGGGTGCGATGGGAAGACCTACCAACGACTTGTCCTCCCCATGAAATAAATCTACCGAAATTTTGACATCACGGCCGATCCTCTTTCCATGTGGAGTGGGGAGAGGGGTCACTTCGTCCTGAAATTCTTTTCGTCTACAGTTTTTATGTTGTTCAACCCTACTAAATTAGCGATATATTTTTAATCAGACCTGTACTGGTACACAGGAGGCTTTTATGAATGGGCAGACATGGCATATGCCCAGGGGCGCCTCCCAACCACTGCCTGCCCGCACTAAGTTAGGAAAAAATTGAGTTTCGATCAATACTATCAAAACTATAGTATATTTACTATGTATAAAACGTTTGATATGAAATACAGTCTAAAAAATGTTACGTAGTAACATATCATCATGTTCAAATATTGATTCTCTTTAGGCTATACAATATTTTGTGTCGTCTCAAGTCATTGAAAATCACCTCAAATAAACATGCATTAGACTCAGCAAAAAAATACAGAAATAAATAAAAACTCTACATTTAAATATAGCATATCACTATAGTCGGGGAGCGAGCTGGTCTAGTGATTAGAGCACGGGACGTCAGTCCCTGAGGTTCCGGGTTCAAATCCCACGAAATAACCAAAGGATTTTGTCTAAGTGTTATTGCCGCAAACCTTAGGTATAGCCTGAAGTAATGTGAAAAACAATTCCAGGCTCGTGCCTGGGACAAAAAAATTGTTTTTTTTTTAATCTAGGCCATTATAAAACTTGATAAGTTGATGTTATAATCGTTAATTTCATGCACATTTTACAGTTTAGTATATTTGACATCAGGTTTCAATTAATTGACCAAGCTGATATACACATCGTACAGTTTTGTGCTATGCCTACAGAAAATGTTACTGAAACCAATGAATTCCACTGATATAGGCTATATAGATATTAAAAATTTGGTTTTTCTTTTCCGAGTCGGTCGGCTCTTCTGCATGACCAATTTTCATAATTGTGGTCTTAAATTAATGGTATGCACGCACAGATTTGCCATCAAGCATCACCATTCACTTATCCACTCACTTGACCAAAAAACATAAATTTTATTTTTTCAGATTTTTACTTCTATTTAAGATGTATTTCACCAGTGCTATTTACATTACCGCGTACGTTTTGGTCTAAGAACTTTCAGTGAAATAGAATCTTTCATTTTAATTATTGATCATTAAGATCGGATGTACCTTTAGCACAATGCTGAATCACAAATCAAAAATAATAATAAATTTTTTAGGACTTATCCACAATCAAATGATCCGCAACTCCATTTTTATTTTAGTTATTTTATGTCTTGATCTTAAAATACTCCTAAAAATAAAGGCTTTGATTTAAGATATTGATCGTTTGAATCGGTTAAGTTCAAGATTACTGTATTAGGCCTATAAGCTACTCAAATCAAGAAACATATTTTATTACCATTATTTATTGTGAACTTTATTTTGACCCAGGCAATGCCGGGTTTGCTGCTAGTCTACTCACGTACCTACATTAATATGTAGGGTAGACGTAAAAAAGAAAAAAAAGTTTTAAGAAACTGCACATACACATTCTGAATAGGCCTACTCTAAAATGTGGCAAAAAATTTGGTAGGGGTTGTCACTAGTTTATCAATTAATGTTTTTTAGAAGAAGCCATCCAAATAGCGAACGTTTTATTAATGGGACAATCAAAACATGTCTATTTCGACTTCTATTTTTACGCCGCAGATATAATAAATATAAGAAACAATCTTCTGTTGTAATCAGCCATTGTGCTATGCTGCCAAGTGCAAAATGAGGTGGGTTCTCAACCGACGGCCAGAATCGTCCAGTTGCCGTTGACGTAGTGTGAAATGCCTTACCGATTTGTCGTGTGGGTGTCGGCGCCGTATCTGTGTTGTAACGAAGCCGTGTCGTGCAGTGTGAAAACAGCCAATTGGTGGACAATATTTAGTTTTACAATCATTTTTAACCATTTTATTTCTTTCCTGTTAAAGGGAACATTTATTATTATCGACGGTTTTTTTCTCGATATATCGATATTAACGAATTGAAACCTATCACCTGACAACTACGATACCTAAATAAATATTGTTCAGTATCAACAAACAGTAATTAAAAAAAAATATTGAAATGAAACTGTTCTAAACTAACCTAACAAAACTAACCAAACTTGCTGTAACATTTAACAATTCTGTTTAATATTCTCCACTTGCCTTTTCTGTTATCTAACAGAATTTTTAAATGACACAGCAAGTTTGGTTGGTTATGTTAGGTCAGTTTGGAACAGTTCATTTCTTAATCCATATAATAGTATATTTTTAGCCTAAACAACATCAGCTGTCAATTTGTAATGAATCGTAAAGAAAAATAAAAATATCGATACATCGAGAAAAAAATCCAGATAGAATGTTCCCTTTAACAGGAAAGTACCGAGTTAAAAACCCATAGGCCTACAAAACGTGACTATTATAGTCGCTGCCACTGCAGACACAAAACGCCGGTACTGTACCGTGACTATTAAGTTTATAGTCGCACTGCCACTTAAGGGTTAACAGGTTAACTTACAGTAGTTTAGTCATTGTAGTTCCGTCAACTTTTTTAAGTTTAAGTTAATTTGTTTTTAATTGGTAGGCCTAGGCCTACTTAACATTAGGTTTAGGCTACCAATGTTAAGTATCTTTGAAATAATCTTTGAAATTCAAATTTATGTTACCTTAGATGCTTTGCTCCGTTTCACAAGACAAATATTAGCCTATCTTGACTTTAGAAGAATAACAACAACTGAATTTTTAGCTGTGCTTTCTTTATACCATCTTCCCAATCGATGTTCCTGACCTACACCTAAGACTAAATATTTTCCTCCACCGGCAAATGTAATGCTGTTAATGAACCCTATTACAGGGAAAGAAAAAAGTGAAAGAACACTTCTGAAATTTTCTTCACACTTCCAAAATCGAAGATGACCATCATTGGCCCCAGAAACAATCAAATCAGAATTCGGGAGGCATGATATACTTGATATCCAATTTGGCTGATTATTTGAATCATCCAGTCCATGTGCTTCAGGAATGATACAAAGGGGTTTCTTTTTTAGGATTCCCCATAGACACACTTGACCATCTTCTCCACATGATAGAAAATGTTGTTGGTCAAGTCTTCTCACTCTATCAATACTTTTTAAGTGGCCGTTGAAAATAAGTTGAGATTCTTCTTGGACTTTCCACACTCTCAATGTATTATCGGTTCCACCAGATGTTATAGCTCTATCTTTTGATAATACATCTATATCAGTGACACCACACTGATGCCCAAATAGTGTCTCCACAAAAGACATCTCATCCAAATTCCAGATTCTTACAGAACGATCCTTAGAACAGCTGTACAAGTTATTTGTTTCTGAACAAAACGCTAACCCAGTAACACGGCTGCGATGCCCTGTGAATGAATGTCTATGTACCAAAGTACATGTATCCCAAATTCTTATAATGGTACTTTCATCACTTGAAGCAAGATATTTGCCATTGTACGACACAGCTAAACTAAGGATTGAAGAATTATGAGAAAACTGCTTACGATTTTCATCTTTCTCCAAGTGTTTGCTCAATATTACTCCAACTTTTCTTCTCTCGCTCAAATCCCACTTGACAATGTTTGCATCTTTAGAAGCACTGAAAATATGTGTGCTATCATAGGAAGTGGCAATACAAGTAATTGATAGTTTGTGTTCTTTGCAACGTAAGACAAATATGTCACTATCTTCTGGTTTCAAAAGCTTATCAGCTACTTTTTTCGTTAACTTCCCAGCTTGGTCTAAGAGGTCTTCCCTTAATCTATTGGTAACACCCCTCCGAACATCTCCAGTCTCTAACCTCTCCTTTTCTTCTCTTTCGATTTCTTCCAAGTACTTTTTTGCCAATAATACCTTCTTTTCTTGCGCACTAACTAAGTTTTCATCGGATTCTACATCAGAATTACGTTTGAGGTCCTCTTCATCACTTGATATTTCATCACTATCTATTTCCTTGCCATTTGATTTATCTTGAGCGTTTACCTTGTTTTTCTTGGAGACAGAATTTTTTGAATCAAAAGATTTTCGTTTAGAATTTTGCTTGGACTTACGAATGAAAAAGTTCGAAGACATGTTCAATATTTACTTGATGTAATCAAGATAATATAAGAAACTACGATCTAACCTCAAAACATCATGGTTGGGGTTTGAGGTTAGGGTTGACTAATTCGAATTCACAGTCACACACAGCTTGATAGAGCTACCACCATTGACTTTGGCTTTAATGGCTTTGGCTTTGGCCGTTTGCGTAATGCGTTCAGTGTTGCCAACCGACCTCTTTGGTTTTCCCCGCATGGAACGACGGAAATCCTCGATTTTCCTCGCAAGGATTCTAAAATTACTCGCAAAATCCTCGATAGCATCTAAAGATTAAAATAATTTGAAATTTCCCCATATTTACATGATAATATACGTTTCCACCTATTCTTTTTTTAATAGAGGTGCAAATAACCAAACAAAGATGCATTAACCTATCGTACTTTAAAAATTAGGGGCTCTGGTCATGGTGGAAGGAAAAAACATTTTTTCATTCCACCATGGGCTCTGGTAAATAGTATGAGTGAATATTGGTCTAGCCTAGCCATAGACCAATCAACACAATGGAATATATTTAGGCCTATCTATGATTTAACGCATGTATTATAATCAATGGTAAAAGTATGTTTTCCATCCCTGAGCCCCTGAGCCCTGACCCTTTTGTCAAATCTGAACAAAGTAGTTAATATTGGTTAATTTGTGGGTGTGCTGATGTCGACGTCAAAATTCTTTAATAAATCATAAACTTTTTTTGTATTATAATTTAGGTAAGCTCGTAATCACGCATTATAGGTGGCCGTGGCCGGGTCGTGTCTTAATACTATACAAATAAGAAAAACCCCTGTGTTTATACGGTACCTGAAAAAATACATTATACATTACATAATACTTATAATAATAATAATATTTGTTATTAACTTTGAAAATTAACAAATTCTAAATTATTGAGACGGGGTCGCCATTTAGGTACGTATTTTTACCCAAATTTGAGTGAAAGATGAGTGTAGAATGGTGTGAGGTGATCTGTGTAACTTTGTACTGACTAATATTTCATCAGCCAGGATAATTGATTTAAAGTCCAATCATCATGAACAGCTGAGTAATAAATCATAATTTGTTAGGTTCTACTACGTAGGCCTAAGTGAAAGGAAATTTGAACTGAAGGCAACCAACAAACAACAAGTTTCTGTACAGGTGAAAATGCTAAAAAGGTGTGGTAGTTTATTGTTAAACACATATCGGCCCCAGTAATATCCTCAATAGTTCAATTCGAATTCACATTTACTTCATAATTACAGGCTTATAGCACACAGCTCAGCTGAGCTGACAGCGACAGCTGGAGCTGAGCATAGCATTACTTCTATTCACCTCACTTCAGTCCAGTTTCCAGTTCGGCAGTTAGTTCTAAGTTCACCCTCATTTCATTGTCTTCTTCTTCATCTACTTGTTCGTTCTTAGATCTTGATTGGTTGATTCATTGATAATTGACTTTTTCCAGTTGCGGACGCTGTTCATTCAATGCTTAGATTCAGAGGGATTTTCAATATATTTTTAAAGAGACCTAGGCACTGAGAATACTCGATTATCAGAAAAATCCTTGGTGCTTTACCTGAAAATCCTCGAAAATACTCGCAAAATCTGAATCCTCGCATAAATCCTCGCAGGGTCTGGAAATCCTCGAAAAACGAGGATTTTCCCCGCAATTGGCAACACTGAATGCGTTTGGCCTACTAGACGAGACGGCTAGACGGCCTAGACGAAGACGACACTAGCTAGTAGGAGGAGGGGAGGAGGGCACAGACTTTCAGCCAACGAGAGCGAGACAACCAGCAGCACGACGTGTTTCCACTCTTCCACTCCAGTCCAGACCGCACAATTTTTATTTTAGCTGCAGTTTTTTATACGGACAAAATGAGAGTTGAAAATGAGATATTATACAAAACAATTTTTAATTATTACTAAGAATTATTTTGATTTTTTTTTACTTTACAATCTGTTCTATAATATGTTGAACAATAAGTAAATGCCATTTAATACAACGAATTAACTTTTGAGCATTAAAAATAGCTATGTTAAGCACTGTCAACAACAATTTTTTCAATAAAACACTTAACAAAAATCTGAAGGGCAGGTCCAGAATTGATGGCCTCTTAAGTCTGTAAATTGTATCCGTGTTGTTTAGTAAGTTCAATGCTAAATGATTTTGATGAGATTCTAATTTCGTAATATATCGTTCACTTAAGGTCATGATTTCGTCCTTTAACTGTAGGCATCTTAAGGTCTTGATGTAGTGTGTTATTCGTGACATACCAAGGTGCATTTGTTATCTTCCTCAGCATTGTCGATTTGGTAACTTTCATGGTGGAAGGAAAACGTTTTCCTTCCACCATGGGTTTCTTTGGATAATTTCTATATTAGAAGTACTCGCCAAGTCGCCGAGCCCCATAGTTGCACTCCATATGTCCATTATTGGTTTCAATATCGTTTTATATAGCAATAATTTATTTTCTAGACTTTTCGGAATTTTGATTTTCTTCCGATGAGCCAAAATTTAACTGATTAGATTTTAAATTTAGTTGTTGCCGTTTTCTCCAAATGTGAGTTTTCCAAGTTAATTTCCTATCTAAATGGATACCTAAGTATATTTAACCTCAGTTACTTCGGGAAGTTGGGTGTTTTTTATTGTGACAGGAGGACAAAAATTTTGATTAGGAGTTAAGAAATGTGGACTGATTTAGTTTCATTAATTTTTAACCTCCGTGTTTTAAACCAATCAGTAGGCCTAATTATGTTCAGATTTTGCTGTAAATTTAGAGAAGCTTGAAATGGATCACGATGAACAAACAAACTTGCAGTATCATCCGCAAATGTAGAAATTTCTACCAACTCATTTTCTGGAAGGTCTGATGTGTGTAGAGAATATACAAAAACGGCCCGAGGACACTTCCTTTAAGAATCCCAGATTCAATTGGATGTAAGTCAGTGAGGACATCTTGATATTTAATTTGGAAATTCCTGTTTTGAAGGTAGGATTTTAAAATGGTAAAAATTGAATGTAATAAAAACATTTTCACTTTATATAACAAGCCAACATGCCACACTTTATCGAATGCCTGGCTAACATCCAAGAAGGCAGCTGAGCAAATTTTTTTATTTTCCATACATTCACGTCAACAACTTAGTGAACCTGTTCTATGGTACTGTGTTTCTGTCTGAAACCAAACTAGCTGATGTGCAGGAATCAAATCTTCGCCAATTAGGTCTTGTAACTCGTATCCTTTTCAGAAGAAGTTTTTTAAATAGACTTTACTGGTAAAAAAACTTATAGGTCGGTATATGAGCTTACCTGGTCAAGAGGCTTCCCAGGTTTCGGAATGACTATCAATTGTGCTCTTTTGAAATGATCTGGTAGAAATTCAAGCTTTGACATTGTATTAGTGAGTCGGTGGCTCAGTCGGTAGCGTCATGGACTTCGGGCCCAAGGCAGTAGTGTCGTGGGTTCGGATCTGGTCACTGCCGATAACATTTTATCAGTACAGTTCACCTTTGTACTGTACCGGCTCACTCCTTGCTTTGCTGTAAACGATCCACGCACGGGCGCTTAGTCTATGTGGACGGGCAAATGCAAGGTTAAAAGAGGCCGCCAACCTCTTAAAAAAAAAATTAAATAGTCAAAAACATTATTCCTTTTCGTACAACTTGACTTCCCATTGCAGAAGTTCAAACCATCAGAACTAAAATCAATAATCACCAAGAATCTCCATTCTGACAAGGCTCCTGGTTACGACCTCAATACTGGTAAAATACTTAAATACCCACGCCACAGCAAACCTACAGACTAATCGAATTTTCATTTACCTTGCTGGATTACTAAAATATTCCCTTAAAATTGTCAGATTTATTTTTTATTTAAATAACATTAATTTTAATGAGTACTTAGGTTTGCTGCTACAGGGAATTTATTGAGGTATGTTTTTTTATTGAAATATTGATAGCTTAGATTGCAAGATGCAAGACAAACATGCAGAAATGGGGTCTCACCAGACGAAGAAAACATCTTGTGCGCGTGTGGAGCTGGCTGTTCAGGATCCTGGCCATCTGCTGATCTGCCCACGCCTAGACCAGTCTTGCATATTAGATGATCTTTTACATGCGAATGACAAAAGCCATATCGGTAGCTAATTTTTGGAAAAGCGAAGACTGATTTCCGGACACGGAAAGTAAGTAAGTAAGTAAGCTTAGTATGAAATAAATAAAATGGAAAAAATTTGATTAAAATATATCTAAACAAGCAAACTACAACAGTTTTTATTTTATTTTATTTATTCTCCATAAGAATAACATGGGAATTTTAAATTTACATTTTTTTGAATTATCTCTGTAACCGTTAGGCTTACAACAATGCTCCAAATATACAAAATTATTTCTTTTTTTAAGCTCTACAATATGGTTTGAAAGGAAATTGTGAATTTTTGTGTTTTTAGGGTAAACAATGGGAAAACCAATTTTAACCCATAAAACCCCCCATAAACCTATGTTCCCATCCCATAGACCGATCCTGCTGTTTCGCGAACTCGTTCGAATAAAAGTAGTTTTACACTTTTTACCAAATTTCATCAAAATCGGATCACTTTTGCTCGAGTTATCGCGCTAACGGACACAATCATATATATATATATAAATATATTTATTTATGTATATATATACATATATAAATATATATATATGAATTTGAACGGATGGTGTTTTTGGCCTCTGGGGACCTCAAAACGAAAAAGTAAATCGGTCCCGGGTCTAGGTCTTACCATAGACTAAGCAACACAAGGATGACAAATCTACTAAGGGAGTATGATATATGGTATGATTTATCTATGGTCTTACCATGAGACCTACGGTAATAGCTTATTCCCTATATGGGAAATTCGCCAAAAGAAAAAATATAAAACTAATTTTTTAGTATAAAATTAAACTGTCATAAGCTAACCAAACTTGCTGATGATGTAGATTTGCTGCAACAGGGAGGGTAAACAAATTTTTTGTATGTTTATAGTTTAGTAAGAAATTAACGTATTTTCCAAATTTAATCAAAATATGTTCATAAACAAGCAAACTACAACAGTTGACTTATTCTCCACAAGAATTATCGTGGGGATTTTAAATTAAAATTTTTTTGGAGATTCTCC